CGAAAAGTCGAAAAACAGGAAAAACACGAAAAGTAGAAAAGTAGAAAAGCGGAAAACTTCCAAATCTGTTTTTTCTCGAAAATTCGAAAAATCGAAAAGTGGCTCCGTGCGCGAAAAGTCGAAAAACACGAAAAACACGAAAAGTAGAAAAGTCGAAAAGGATCGTTTTTCTACTTTTCTACTTTTTGTATTTTTTGCACTTTTCTTGTTTTTCTACTTTTCTATTTTTTTTACTTTTCTCACGTTTCTTATTTTTCTATTTTTCTTGCGAAAAACGAAGGGCAAAAAACGTGAAGATTGCAAAAACCATTGTTTTTCTACTTTTTGACTTTTTGACTTTTCTCGTTTTTCTCGTTTTTCTTTTTTTCTTACTTTTCTTAACCAAAAACGTGCACGGACAAGAAGATACCAAACGTCACGTCTAACTGACTTAGCGACGACAGCGGGAACTTATGGCCAAAGCTGACCTTGGAACTGAATGGTTGCCTTCCATGGGTGGCCGTGGCCAACAAACGAAGCCCAAAAAGGTTGTCGGGTGCCAAGCCCCCCTGAAGCAAGGACGTAGCCAAGACGTTCAACCTGCCTTTTATGGATTTTCTGCCCTCCACGCCAAGCAGTTTAAACAGCTCCGTCGGTTGCAGAATTACTGTAGGTGGATTGATGGTCGACCCCAAACCGGCACAGTGGACTGTCTTCATGGAATTTGCCTGTGGACTTCTATCTTGCGTGCCCCTGGCTTTGGTTCTTCCTTCTCTGAGTGGTGGCTGCACCGTCAATATGTGACTCCTTTCGATCCCCCTGTCGTTCCATGTCACTTTCCTGGCTCTGCTGTTGCTCATCAGATTTATGATGCTGTTCTGGCCGAGGTCCGTGCCTTTGAGCAGCGACTCATGCGTGCCAAACAAGCGTATCGCCAGACTCAGCATGCTTCCGACAAGAACTTGGTCTTCCGTGAGGTTGCACGAGAGCCTGCTGCCCCGGTTGAGTCTCTTATCCACCGTGTTGAGGCGTCAGTTGTGCGAGTTGATGAACATGAGTCTGCGATTGAGCTTGACAAGCCAGTTCGAGTCTTGCCTGATGAACCTGTGTGGATTGCGGGTCATGCACATGAGGTCATCCATGCTGATCATGATAAGATTTGGCTCACCGATGTCTCTGAGGTCTGTGTTCCCTCTGTCTGTGTTCAGTCTCGCCACTTAGGTGATTTGCGTGAGCTGTTTGATGCTTTCCATGAACAATGGCAACGCCGATGGTGTCGTCATGACCATGTTCCCTTTTCACATTGGACCCAACTGCTCGACTTTGCCAAAAGGGTTGTCCGGCCTACTCCAGTTGCCCATCTTCAGCTTGACTGTGCTTTGCTGCGGGCTGAGATCAGCCGCAAGAAACGAACAGCGGCTACTGGGCTCGATGGAGTCAGCCGCAATGACCTCCTGATGGCTGATCAGGCAACCTTGTTTGGATTGACCAACATGTACCGCCGTGCTGAAGCTGATGGCACCTGGCCTCAACAACTTTTAGCAGGCAAGGTCCATTCTCTCGCCAAAACTGAGTCTGCGGCATCAGTTGGAGATTATAGACCCATTACAATTTTTGGTCTTCCCTACCGAGCTTGGAGTAGTGCCCAATCGAGATATCTGCTTCAGTTTGCTGAAAGCTGGGTCGATGAAAGCGTGTATGGAAACCGAAAGGGCCGCCAGGCCTCTGATTTGTGGACTTCTCTTCTCCAACAGATAGAGCAAGCGTATGCCACGGGCCTGCCTCTTGCAGGGATTTCTGCGGACCTTGAGAAGTGCTTCAATTGCATCCCCAGGTTTCCTGCTTTGTGCCTTGCCGTTTTGGTTGGTACTCCCCCTGAAGTCACCACTGCTTGGAGTGGAGCTCTTTCATCCATGTGCAGGCATTTCAAGGTTCGTGACTCATATTCTGCTGGGTTTCTCACGTCCACTGGTTTGGCCGAAGGTTGTGGGTTGTCAGTGTATGGTATGCTTCTTGTCGATCACCTCTTTGCTTGTTGGCTCCGGTTTCAAACTCCAACTGTGCAATGTTTGACCTATGTTGATGATTGGCAAACCATGACTCGCGATCCCTCTTTTGCAGTCAGGCAACTTGACCTTGTGGAACAGTTTGCTGGCATGGTTGACCTTACGGTGGATCGTAAGAAGACGTTTGGATGGGCTACCTGCCCTACCTTGCGCGCCCAGATGCGTTCTGCGGGCATTCGGGTCTTGCACCATGCCCGTGAGTTAGGTGGACATTTTGGAGTCTCCCGGCAATACACCAACCGCACTGTCACTCAAAGAATTGCTGACCTTGAGGATTTTTGGGGTAAGCTCCGTGCCTCCCGGGTGCGACATCAAGCTAAAGTTTTTATGCTGCGTGCCGTGGCTTGGCCCCGTGGACTTCATGCCATTGCCAGTGCCCCTGTTGGAGACCAGGTTTGGCTGGACTTACGCCGCCAAGCTGTCAAGGCCCTTGGATGGAAAAAGCCTGGGGTCAATCCTCAAGTGCTGCTTAGTTTGGTTGAGTGTGCTGTCGATCCTCAGTTTGTCGCCTTGCTTTGGACTCTTCGATCCGCACGTGTTCATTGCCCTTTGGACTTTTGGACTGTCAGTGTTGCCCCGTTGGCTCATGGTGATTTGGACTTGCCTCCTAACTCCCTTGCTGCCATTGCTCTGCACCGCATTCAATCCGTTGGGTTCTCTGTTTCCCGTCAAGGGTGGGTTCGTGATTGCTTTGGGTTTTTCTGTCCGCAGACCTGTAACCCTACAGAGCTTGAACTCCGTCTTCAATGGGCTTGGACTCGCGTTGTTGCTCAGAAAGTTGTGCATCGTACTGACTTTGCTGGCCTTGCCTGTGCTGACTTGGCAGCCACTCGACAGGCTATTAATCAGCTCAGCGCCGATGACCAAGCCCTCTACCGACTGAGTTTAGCTGGGGGCCTGTTCACCGAAAGTTACAAAGCTAAGTGGACTGAACAAGCAGATGCATGTCAGTGGTGCGGCCAGAAGGATACCCTCATGCATCGCTACTGGGAGTGTCCCCAACATCACGATCTCCGGCAACAGTTGGCTCCTGAAATCCCTGCCATTTTGGACTTGCTCCCGCCTGCCCTGTCGTTGCGTGGTTGGGCGATTTTCCCTCCTACTTGGCCGGCTTGGATTCGCCTGTTGGTCAGCTTGCCTGCCACTCCGCCTTCTCCTGTCGTTGCTTTTCGATTGGACGGTTGGAACGACGTTTTCACTGATGGCTCCTGTCTTCACCAAGCTTGCCCTTTGTATCGCTGTGCCGCTTGGGCCGTCACTCTCGCTCCACCGTTTACTGCTGATTGGACTCCGGGGGGTGCTGCTGTGGTGGGTGCTTCCTATCTGCCTGGGCTCTGCCAAACTGCATACAGAGCGGAACTGTTCGCTGTTGCTTACACCCTTCATTGGGCGGCAGCCCAAGGGGCACAAGTGCGCATTTGGAGTGACTGTCTTGGTGTCGTCAACAAGTTTGCTCTACTGGTTTGGGGTCACAAACGGTTAAATCCAACACGCAGCAATGCCGACTTATGGGTGTGGATCATGCAGTCTGTTGAGCGCTTAGGGAAGCAGAATGTCGCCATCATGAAAGTCCCTGCTCACCGAGATCTTCGAAGCCTCACAACCAGGTTTGAAATTTGGAAAGGAGTGCACAATGCTTTTGCGGACAGAGCTGCTCGCTTGGCTAACCAAGCGCGGCCTACATGGTTTTGGAAGTTTTGGGAACAACATGTTCAAGCAGTTACCATTTCTGCCCGGCTCTTTGACCAAGTTCGCAAATTACATTTGGCAGTTGGCCGCCGGCACGTACAGGGACAAGTCAATTTTTCAGGAGATCTTGCCCCTACACCTGCCCGGCCCACACGAATCTCTGATAAGCATTTTGATGTGAGTGGATGGCAAGGACAACCATTGCCAGTGACTTCCAGGTTGTTTGGGGCAGCTTTGACCATCAAGTTGCAGCGATGGTTTGATGCTAGACTGGTTTTGCTTGCTGATGCGCCTCTTGAATGGGTGTCCATCACTCAGCTGTACGTGGACTTTCAACTGACTTGGGGTCACCCAGGTCCTTTGCGAGTTCATGACCAGTGGGTTGATGTTGATCAGAGGCCGTATTTGGCAGCAGAGACATTTGGTTTCCGAGTTCGAGTACGTTGGTTCCGTCAGTTTTTGAAACAATTCTGGCGCGAAGCCCAGGTGACCTTGGCCCTTGAACAGTGTAGACCCCGGTCTGAAGCTTTACAGACGTTCCTTCCTGCTGCTTCGGTTCCGTGGGATACCTTGGCTCTTTGTCAGGTCGAAACTTGGATAACTGCTCAACTTAATGCACCTTGTGTCAGAAGTGCCAGTGTTTTGAAATCGCTGCCTTTAGCCAGCCGTGACCCGACCATGGCGATGGCTGTGATGGGATAGTTTCACCCCGAGAGCTTCGCCTCGCTCCCCCAACTGAGCAGGCGGATTGGTCGAAAACTTGGTCGAAAACTTGGTGGCTTGGAACATTTTTATTTTTCCATTATGTTTAACCATATTCAACCATATTTAACCAGCAAAATGTTTAGCAAAACTGGTTGGTGGTTGGGAACATGGCTTTTATGACTTTCCCATCATATTGGGAATGGAAAATCATCCCAACTGACGAACTCACTCCATGATTTTTCAGAGGGCTTGGTTGAAACCACCAACCAGGGAATAGTTGGAGGATCATTTCCCCGGGCCGTAGATAACATATCGCTGTTCGTTGGTTTAGAACTAAATTAACTATGGTTTCCGGTAGATATTTATCACACACATATATATATATATTCATATATCACATATCATATATGTATACATATATATATATAAATCTATAGTCGAAGAGGTTTCCAAACCAACAAACATTAAACTTGGGGCCGACTTGTAGGGTAGCAAGTAGTTTATCCATCCAGGCCCCCATATCTGCGGACAGCCAGTACCCTTCAGACCGTCCTCCAAAAGGTTCGCGGCACCGGGGGCGAGACGCACCGCGGCACGCGGCTTCGGGGGCGATTGCTTTACGGAAGCAGAGCAGCTTGGTGCAACGGATGGGAAGATGTTCCAGAAATGGGGGATTCAATGGGAGTTTTGCTGCGCAGCAAAAAAAGTCACGGTGAATGGGGGATTTGCTGGTTATTTTTATAGGTTACCAGATGGGTTGACATTAGATTACGCGTCATCGTCATACGTGCCATGATGGGGGCATGGTCATCCCATTTTGAGGATGTTCAGTATGGGATGGATCACAGCGCGTCAGAATCGAAGGATTCTAAGCAGCAAATCGGGGCTAGAAATCGCAAGGGATGGTTAGAAGTATTGTGCTGGGCCAGCAACTCCCTTGTCGCTGCATTCATCAGTAAAGGGTGCGTTAGTTTTTGGGATTTGATTTTGTACTTTCCTTGGGCATTGGTGCTGGTCATTGGAGACATGTTTGGCGATCAGTGAAATGGTGGCCTTCTGAAGTAGTGGAATGGCACTCTGTAGGGTTGGCCCGGCTCGTTACGGCTTCGCCAGGACGGCTTCGCTGCGGCAATATCAAACTATGTTCATCAACTTTATATTCCATGAAGTTCCATGTGTTTGTTCTCAATTTTCCGCAGCATTCATCGCAATGATGCTTAGTTATACACCCAATTGTTCATGGTTACCCTCTGGTAAATTAACATAGACCCTGAAACTGACCAATTTATAGTGGAAACTAGTCTTTCAACCCCCATCTGGCAGGGTCTATGTTAATTTACTGGAGGGTAAATCATGTGATTTCCTCACATAAACCACACAATATGTGTATTTCATCCCCATGTTGTTGGTGATATCCCACGGTTGAACGAAAAAAAATCCCATTCCCCATTCCCATAGAGGGCGCCCCAAAAAATGGTCCCAGTCATAAGTGCAAATCCCTTGCTAAAGCCTGGTTCCATTTGGGGGTGTTTGGTATTAGAGGGCATGGATTAATGATAGTTGGTTAATGTTGGTTAGTTCCAACAACAACTGATTGGTGGTTTGGAGAATAATCATCCCAACTGACGAACTCCATCATTTTTCAGAAGGGGTAAGTATACCACCAACCAGATATATTATGGGATATAATGGATTGAAAACGGCCATTTATAGTGAGTTTTCCCAATAAAAATTGTGATTTTCCATAGTTTTCCAAGGGGATTCAATGGGACAATATTCCCTTCTGCATATCCCATTGAATCCCCATTTGTTGATGGTACAAACATCATCTGGCTGGTGGTTTGGATCATTTTTTATTTTCCATTTCATATATGGGATGTCATCCCAACCCCATTGACGAACTCCATCATTTTTCAAGATGGTGAGTTATTGCACCACCAACCAGACTTTATATCATTATATAAATGGAGGTTTCCTAAGTCATGGGTTCCCCCCAGTCATCATCCATTGATGGTTTTTCCATGAAACCATCCAGCTTTGCTCTTGGGGATCCACCATTTTAACAAACTTCCAAAGATATCCAAAAATCCCATGGTAAACATCCAGTAGTTCCATAATACAATTACGTGTATATATATACATATATGTTTGTTATCTAATTTTTATGTTTAAACAGTTTAAACATATGAGTTTTAGTAATTTATCATTAACATCATCAACTATCCCGTATGTTTAAGCTGTTTTTTCCAGCCACTTCGACAAATTGACACATTGCCCTGATCCATGAGGTCATGATCAGCAACCCGCAGAGCGCCTTGGAGGGTAACCGCTTCATCACGACCGAGCCCTGTTCTAACCCTGGTTCATCATGGTTTATTTTAGGGAAATCATCACCTTTTATGGCCGAATGTTTCAGATTTTTCAGGTTAGTGAAATCTTCTAATTTACCCAGATAAATGGTTATACGTGGTTATAAATGTGAGATTATATAAATGAGGTTTTGTTAGTACTTATAACTGGTATGACTCGGGCCATAACTGTTGGGAAAGTTTTGCTGATGAAGTGTTTATTGCTGGAGAAATGATGTAAATCGATTGCAGGTTTTCTGTTCAGGTGAAATTGTTGTGTATAGTTTAAGACTAATAAACGATGGGATACAAGTGTTAAACATGATGAAACAAAAAACGAGCACGTTTTTTACGATGTCACCGACCACATATCGGTCAATTCCAGGTCAAAATTATTCAAAAAGTTTCAGCCCAAAGGGCGCCAAAAAATCCATACCAAGTGGATTTGCCCAGTTTGTAATTTGTGGAAAATTTTCCCATTACTTGGTGGTTCATCCCACTTAGTAAGTGGGTTATAACCCTAGTGATTTGCATGGGACAAGTAGGGTTAATCCACTTATAACTGGGGTTATAACCCACTTACTAAGTAGGGATAACCACCATTAGTACCCTCTGGTTATGACTAACAGTTTGCCATGGTATAGATGGCCCATAGAAATAGATGATTTTCCCAGCGAACTAAACCTCCATTTAGTCACAACCAGATGGTAAATCCACCTTCTACACGGACAAGCTTGTTATCTTCTGACATAACTCCAATTTCAAGCCATCTATATATGTAATCCTATCCCCCTAATTAATATTAAACACCATCGAAATGGGCCCGAGGATGTGTAAATTCCCCACGGTTTACAATATAGCTTCATGCTAGGGGGAAGGGAATTCATGTACCAAGTCTCACCAATCATATTCCATAAGCTTTCCATGGGATTTCTTTCAAACCATCGAATTTTCCATGGACTTTGCCCCACATCTCCGAATAAAGTGGGGATTTTTCAGCACTCAGCCACTGAGGCTCCTGGAGCTGGATGAGAAGATGGTAGATGAGAAGAAGGAGGTTGCCTAAACACCGTTGGTGTTTGGTTCACAAATCATCAACAAAAATGGCTTAAAAAACCAGCAGAACGTGAATATCCTCTGGTAATGTATATGTAGCAATAGGCCATCCTGTATAAAATGGAGCTAACTGAATACGTTTGAATGGGACAATCATTGCGCAAAATCGGAAATTGTTCATTGCCACGTTTCATTATCAGAGGGTATATATATATACACATATAATACAATATATATATATATATTACATATTTGTTAAGTTTCCATGACATATTGTATAAGTTCAATCAGATGGCTATGAGTTATGATGGGGAACACCTCTGGTTCCCTGTAAGATTTTCCTGAGAAAACCATTCCAGTGATTGGTGAAAAAATCAAACACGGGATACAAGTGGGCCAACCTGGGTGAAGAGATGTTTAATGGGTACTTTAATGCAATATATATATAATAGTTGTGTATAATATAAATATATATATATATAATCGGCAAATTTTCGCGTATACAAGAAGTGAACACAGACCTACAAAATTATTTCCCCCAACTTCTGAGGTTTTCTGTTTAGAAACCCATCCAACCACAGATACATCCACCAATGATCCCCCAATGAGCTAACTGAATCGAAATATGCCTTCCCAAGCTCGCTTTGCCGGCATCACTTGCATTTTCCAGAGCTTAAGTAAGGGTTCCAACATTAAAAATCAATGAGTGTTTCATTCTAGACATTCTCTGGGTCATAAATCTACCATTTATGGGTCATAACTTATTAGATCTTATTAGCATTTATTAGCCACAAATCCCATAATCTTGGGTTAGTATAGTCATAGTTATTATATGTTATTATAACCTCATCTGGTTGGTGGTTTGGAACATGAATTTTATTTTCCATTTCATATATGGGATGTCATCCTTCCCATTGACGAACTCCATCATTGAAGCTCGTAATAACACCGCGCCGCCCATTCGTTTAGTATTCCATGATCCCCCATGAGCCATTTAAACAGCTTTCACCAACGAAAAAACGATGAGGAAAAAAAAACGATAACGTTGGTTATTTGAGTTATGTGAATGATCTGTGTCAAGACTCTGGAAATCCAATCGTTCTGCCGCTATGCTGGTGCTGCTGGTCCCTTCCTTTCACTGTTTGTTGTCGTAATGGTGCGCCAACGAATGCGTGTGAGATTCTGCACCAGGAAGGGGTTGTGGGACATGGAAAAGTTAGCTCGCATATGGTTAAACAGGTTGATGTGATAGAATTTGGCTGGCAGCCGCGGCAGCCGCCATTCAATGTTTGTTTTCATTTTGTAGCTTGTTGCCGGTTCCTGTCCACAGCATATTGGAGCCCTGTAGGAGTATGAAGTGGCAGGCGTTTCGATTAGCCACGGCTGAAGGGGAACGTAAAACGAAGTTTGAAGCGGTGGCCTGATCGGCCACAGTTGGAAGAGGTGCCAGATTCCTGCCGCAAAGGCGCAACGCTGAGGCCAGTCTTTGTTGGGCAGAGGTGCCATCCTGTCCGTCCAGCAGCTCCTCGAGTTCCAGCAGCGCAGAAGATTCTGCCAGCTGAGGGAAAAGTGCGCTATCCATGCCATGGCATCATTTTCCAACCTTGCAGATGCAAAAAAAAACCCGAAAAGACAGGTGTAAATCTGGCGGTTGTGAGCTATTATGAATTCTTTGATCAAGGTGTGAAGCCGGCGCTTGGGAAAACGATAAGAGGAAAAAAACGATAACGTGTGGAAAAACAATTGCACAGGTATCGGGGTTTTTACAAACCCCCATATTTTTCAAGATGGTTATTGCATCACCAACCAGTTCTAGATCCTACTAGAATTCTATTGGCATGGAAAGTATTCATTTCTGGAAAAACACGTACTTTCAGTTTTCATTACTCCTCTGTTCACATTCATGGGGATTCAACGGTTAAGCCCAAGGGTGAGCCACCCAAAATATTGGTTGATAAGCCATCAATCAATGGTTGTTGGTGATTTTTCGACCTCACATCCCACAGCCAAAGAATTCAGGTTTGTGTACCCTTATTAAACCCCTATAACAAAAAAACCCTGTTAAATCCTAAGAAACCCCCATGGGAAACACTTCAAGATATTCCAAAAAGGTCACCTTCAAGCCAGAATTCCAGCGGTGGTTTCCTGAGGGAATCAGCCCATGTTTGTTCAATAGGGGAACGGCTAAACCTTGGTAAACCATGGTAAGCCCAATGCCATACAAGGTGGTGCCCCATAGTTAGCTAAGTTGGTTTATAAGTCCCATAACTATGGTTTATGGCAGATATAACTATAGTTAATGGGCTTTATAAACCCACTAACAAAACTGGGGGGCACCATCCTGTAGCCTCTGGTAAACGTTTACAGTTTGCGAACTTGAAAATAGCCATAGAATTGTCGTTGATTTACCCCAAAAAAATGGTGATTTCCATCGTCCGTTTTGGATCAAGATGGATCAAGATCCGAATCGTTTCCCATTGCAGCTATTTAATATGTTTCTTCCAAATGCTATACCATGATGTGCCATGATCAAAAGTTTGAATTCTGTATGTGCCCATATTGGGGTAGGGTCATCTCGTCCGGAATCGGGAATGACGTTCCGCGAATGGGGAAACATAAGGGTTCCCATTTTGGTTGACCGTAACCCATATACTGTACCATGTTCCTGGACCACGGCACACATATGGCTACACGATAACCTCGACAACTGGGACGCACATCAAAGTAGAAAATTATACGTATGTATATATATACACACATATATCTATATATTTATACATATATCATATATCTATTAATATATATATATATGTGCATGGGTTAAAACCTATCAATCATAGTTTTTCTTGGTTAGAAACACATCCATAGATCAAAAAGGATGCCCTAAAAAAATCCCAACAAAAATCCCATCTCAAAAATTCATAAATCCCAGTAAATCCCGGTAAATCCACAGAAATCCCAGCAATCTTAGGGGTTTTCACAGGGCTTTTCACATACCCTCTGGTAAACATACAAAAAACTATGAAAAACCACCATGTTTAATGGGAAAATCCACTATAAATGGGCCATTTTCAATAGCTATGCTAAATTACCAGAGGGTATGTTTTTTTTTCACTGACCCAGATTCCAGGCCTCAGATGTCCCACGAACGAAAATGATGCGATCAGAGCATGCCCAGAAACACAGGCGCAGCAGCCCCACGTTTCTATAGATAGGTGGGGCCCTCTAGATAGGTAACTATATACATTATTATTCTAGATTGTTATCATTATTGTATATTACACTATATCAATATTATATATTATATATTCTAAATTTATTATTACCATTTGTTTCTACTATCAATATTTTTTAATATCATATTATCATTTAATAACCAGCAGAACTATGGTCTTTCTGAGTTGTTTGGTATAGTATCCTATGGTTATATCACTGAGGGGTACCACCTTTTTGCATTGTTAGACTCGAGGTGTTGGTGCAGGTTGGCCTTTTTGGTCAACCCCGATGTGCTTTAACAAAAAAACAAGAGTCTTGGTTGAGTTGTATGGGCAGATGGTGTCCAGCTACTACATTTTGTGAGAATTTTGGAATTGGGATACTGCGACACTGTGAGACTACGAGTTTGATGAACTCAGGACAGAGTCAATATTAAAGTGGTTGGTGGATTAGTGGTTTCACATTTTTAAGGCTGATTTTCCATCCAACAAATGTGATGATGATCCAAGATGAAATTTGGAACTTCTTGAAGCTTTGATAGCCTTTGGTAGCTTAACGTAGCTATGGAAAATGCACCATTGTGAATCAGCGATTTTCCATGGGCTATGTTGAATCACCATTGTTGGGGTGCGAGGGTTCCACTAATAAGTGCTTATATAACTTATGGAGCTCATGGTTTCTGAGTGGGTAATTATTGAATAGGGGAACTCATAGAATTGGATTATGGGAAAATTTACAGGAAAGCCCTATCTTTGATGGTAAAAACCATGGTTTCTGGTTAAGATTTTCCCCAACAAACCAATCCAGTGAGGAAAGGGATGTGTTCGTGTTTGGGGGTGCAGCTGGCAGTTGGCATTTTTTTAAAGTAGAACGATGGGATTCTAACCACTGTTGGGAGATGGGCCCCCTGTACCAACTACAATAAACTACCATCTGGTTATTTAACATAGCCATGGAAAATCACCATTTTTAATAGGTAAACCATCTATTTCTATGGGCCATTTTCCATGGTTACGTTAAATAACCAGAGGCTATGGTGAACTGTTGGAACTGCACCCAAAAAAAACCGTGTTTGTAGAGTAGAACCACCGTTAATCACTGAAACTGAAAAACCCCGAAGTACTTGGTGCCTCATCCCACGAATCGTAAGTAGGTTCTAACCCCAGTGATTTACATGGGATTTTTGGAGCGGGTTAATCCACATCAATCACTGGGGTGAACTAACCCACAACCACGATTCGTGGGTAGTTCGCCACCAAGTAGGGTCAATACAGACGGATTTTCATGGATCACCCTGGGTGTCATGAAACGTGGCGTGCTAGAAAATCCCCCGCACGACGTGAAGGTTTTGATTGGAAAATCATCAAACTATTGCTGGTGGATTTGACAAAAACACGCCATGTTTGATGATTTTTTTGGCTCAACAGAAAATTCTAGGCTCAACAGAAAACATAGGAGGTGCCAAGTATTACCCATGACGGATCCATGTATGCCGTATATGGTAACATGGATCCCATCAATATACCCCAGTCATGTTAGCATATATACCAGCACCATGGATCCGTCATGGGTTAGGATGTGCCAACTGATAGCTATGCCAACTGATGTGGCTATGCTTTGATCATTTTCCGAACGGCTTTTCCTAGGGATTTTCCACATCTATACAATGTGGGGCCCCCGTTCGATAGCTAAGTTGGTGAACATAACTCCAATAACTATGGTTTATGGTACGCAAATAACTATAGTTAATGGGGTTTATAAACCAACTTACAACTGGGGGGCCCCACATTGTATGAGTTTATTCTTAGAAATTCGCTGTCGATTACAGTGTAATGTCTTGGGTTATGTGATATTTTTCCATGATATTTCGCATTATTGATGGTTCCATCAAAACCGAGTCCATTTATAAATGGGTACCCTCTGGTAAACTAACATAGCTATTGAAAATGGCAATTTATAGTTGATTTTCCCATTAAAACTTGTGATTTCCATAGTTAGTTTACCAGAGGGTATGCCATTATAAACCATTATGAACCATTATTAACCATTATTAACCATAGTTATGCAATGTTATGCCATAGTTATGTTAGGTTATTACAGGGTAATTAATTACCAGAGGATATTGTTGATTCAAGGCCACAAAAAAAAAAACACCGCAAACCGCAAACCGTTCGGGCTCAAGAGTTGTGCGTGGCCATGCGGCAGACTCCAATGGCCAGATGGGCGAGTCAGATCATTGAACTCACTTAGCGCTTAGCGGTGCTTACTGAAATAGATACATGTGAGTAGTGTATGATATATCTAGACATATACACTACTGTACATAGTTATGTATAATATATATATATATATGTATATGTATATATGTATATATGTATATATGTATATATGTATATATGTATATATGTATATATGTATATATGTATATATGTATACAGACACTGTAAATAGTTATGATATATACGTATGTGATTGTATGTCCCTCATGGATTTCAGATCAGTTTGAAGCATTTTTACATCCGAACTTTGCTTTCCTGGATGAGAGCGATACGAAAGGCCAAAGACGCTGGATCTGCGGGATATGACGAGACGTGGGCTGATGAAGCTGAAGCTCAGAAATATGAGCGCCTGATCCTGGCAGTTGAAGATTGATCATCATAGCTACAAGGTGGTGCCCCAGTTCGTGAACGCTAAGTTGGTGCACATAAGTCCCATTAAACCTATCGTTTATGGCAGATATAACGAACTAGTATTCATGGGGTTTATAGACCCACTTATAACTGGGGGGCACCACCTTGTAGCCATGGTATAGATGGCCCATTTATAGATGATTTTCCCATTAAACCCTCCATTTATAAGGGATTTTATAAACCCACTAACATCACTGGGGGGCACCATCCTGTACCCATAGCTGTGTCATCAAAGGTAGCAGTGAAAAATCCCCCCATTTTTTTTTTGGGAGTTTTCCGGCGCGCCATGATACGCCATGCAACTCATTAGAGGGTACCCTCTGGTGAACTAACATAGCAATGGAAAATGGCCATTTATAGTGGATTTTCCCATTAAAAATGGTGATTTTCCATTGCTATGTTAGTTCACCAGAGGGTACCAGATGGGGTTTCAGCCTCATGTTTAAGCCACAAGTATGTGGGTTGTGTACATGGCAGATAGACCTAATACCCATAGGAGATTGGGTAGGTTTGACAGTGCATTTCCTGATTCCGTTAGTAATATCTCTTGGTTTGGTTTTGTCCAAATATGATGAATACCCCAACATGCCAATTTTCACTGGAAACAAAACAACGGTAACCTACAAAAGGTTGGTGATACTGTCAGTCAAATCCTTTCTTGCGGATGAAAGGTCCCAAGAACAATCAGAAGCAAGCCATGGTTGATCATCATTTCCCCATTGAAATTGCCATTGGAAGTAAATCCAGCATTTCTAGGTATATCTTGGACTCGGACTTGAGTCGATACTTCTTTAGTACTTTGATCATTTCTAAGTCTATGGTAATATAATGTAATATATGAGAATTGATAATATACATAAACATATATAGAATCTGGTTGGTGGTTTGGAACATTTTTTTTCATATATTGGGCATAATCATCCCAACTGACTTTCATATTTTTCAGAGGAGTTGAAACCACCAACCAGGAATGATATACACATATTAGTGGATTAACTAGTGGATTAAATCTTCCAACTATATGTCCATTTATGGAACAGTGTTGTGTCAATCTTTTGCTATGAATGGGGGATCAATTCCACCTACAAGGTGGGGCCTCCCAAAAGAATCTACCATAAACATCCATAAACCATCATAAACCCCATAAACATCCAGAAACCATATGGTGTTTGGAGTTCTAAGCCACAAAACATCACAAAGCAAAACAATGTCTACTGCTTACGTATCTCAGATTGGCCATGATTTCCGAAAAAATCCACGGGTCCATTTAATTGGCCAAGATTTTCCCCACGACACCGCCATGTTTGTTCGACCATTTTTGAAAGGGACAACGGTTTCTGATGGGTATTTTTCATGTATTTTCCATTCCTCATGCTAAAGAATATATATATATATTATATTATATTATATTATATTATATATATTATATATTATATATATTATATATATATAGAATCCACTGTTTTCTCTTAATCAAGATCACCATTAAATCCCATTTAATCACCATTTTACCCTTGGTTCCCCTGTTTTTTTTGGACCTTCCTGGAAAACCGTTGACCGATGATGGATTTTTTTCAGCCACCAAGGTGCATGATCTGCAAGTGCGTGGCACGTTCCGCCCTCGCGCCAGCTTGTTGCTAGAAACAAACACAGGATATGGGGGTGGTTCATCCCAGTGATTTACATGGGATAAGGAGCGGGTTAATCCACTTATAACTGGGGTTATATCCAATTATATGATATATATATATATAGATATCTGGGTAACAAGAACAGGATATGGGGGTGGTCAAAACCTATTATCAATTTTAATGGGCCGAACATCAATTTACCAACTATTTTGGGGTTCACTAGGTGCCAGTGTTTTGACCAATAGCCATATGACCAACCGATATGGAGTAGATTGGGACATATTGGATTTAAATGGATACAATATGGATACAATATGGATACACACATTTTGGTAAACTATATAACATAATGGCTAGGTCAATCTTGGATGGGTAGAAACTAATCCTTTAGTCTTTTGGTATCAATGGGATTATCTACGTTCACCAGCCAAGAATTTGTTATTTTTTGCAGGGTATCCAAGATTGGCCATGACATGACCAACGATATGGAGATAAGTTGGGGGTTACCCCTGGTAATTTAATATAGCTATTGAAAATTGCCCATACAAATAGTTTATTTATAGTACCTATTAAAAATGATGATTTTCGATGGCTATGTTAGTTTACCGGAGGGTAGCCCAACATGTTGTTCATGAGGGACACATGATGTGAATTCAGGCAATGTCCAGGCTGCTCTTTCAAGAGACATATAGATCAGGTTTGAATTTTGAATGATTTGAATGGTTGGTATAATCATCAATGGAAATTTCAGGATCCTAAAATGGAGGTACTGTACCATATAAGGCCATATTTTGGGGGGATATTCCCGTGCATAGGCCTTACAGAGGCCTTATATATGGTAGGTACCTCCAATTTAGGTTCCTGGAATGGCCATTGAAATCATGCCCAATCCCTCATTGATACCCATCCCCCTGTCATGGAAACCATGAACTCCCTGTATTTTCCCATCAAACATTGGAATTATATCAACCCAAAATCGCTCCCAGCCATCCCCTTAGCCTGAAGGGCAAACACTGTACATCCTCCCCTTCGAATGAGGGTTTTTTTTCCGCCCCTAGTTCTTTTTTTCCTTATTCCATGGGAATTTGTAGGTGGTAGGAGGCAGTTTTGATCTTTCCCATACTGCTGGTCATATCTCCATTATATCCCAACAAATAGTTGCTTCAATCCCAATACCGTTTGTATCCCCATGTGAAACAAATACTTGGCTTAATCCCTTCCCGTACCCATTATATCCTAGAGCAAGGGGCCCCTTCCAGTTGATTAGTTGGTAAACACAGCCAGGCTCACCGTTGGATTTAGGGTGGATATATGGGTTTGTCTGAAAATCGTGGACCCCACGAACCAGTGCTTCATCATCATTTGTCCATATTGTTCCCATATTTTTCCTATGAACAACTTGCCACAAACATTGGGGGTATCCAAGAAAACAGGCAGCCATGGGATTACCCTCTGGTAAACATACAAAAAAACTTTGGAAAATCACCATGATTAATGGGAAAACTCACTATAAATGGCCATTTTCAATAGCTATTTTGACATAACCAGAGGGTAGATGATCCCAATCCCGTCCCCAAGGAAAAACAACGACAAACTCCACCAGGTTGTGGCGAGCTTTTCTGTGAGCTCTGCTGGGTGCGATGTCAAGGCCGAGAAGCCAGGCGCCCATGCGCCATGGCGGCGCCATTTTCTGGGGATGTGACCCCGGCAGTGATGTGAACGTTGGTTTATAAACCAAAGTAACTATGCTTATATGGTTCATGAACCGTAGTAACTATAGTTATATGATTCATAAACCAAAGTAACTATAGTTATATGATATATATGGTTTACTTAGCATACTTTGTCGGTACGTTCGGTCTGTTCCTACGGTACGTTCGGGAACGGGCGTTCTTAAGCCGTACGTTCCTTGAGTGTAGAATGGTCACCATGTCGGAGTTGCATTAGTAAGATGATGAAAAGCCGAAATGGCAATGGCATCAGACGTCAATGACAAAGAACCCTATTTGCATTTTGAGGTCCTCTAAAAATGTAAATGGCTTATGCTCGAGTTACTGGGGAACAGAATTCGGCCTAACTTTAACTGCCGCTGCTAGTTCCAGAAAAGGATACTTGACAAGATGCATGGCGTAGCAAACCTGACAACTGAGCAGTTTAGGACGGATTTACATTTTGAGAGGCCTGAACAATGTAAATAGGTCTCTGCGCCCATTGGAGTTCATCACAAGGACCGGAGCGGAGACTTTAGATTTAGACCAACTATAACCGATTTACATTTTGATGGGCTTTAAAAATGTAATGGGTATTGTTTTTGCTGCATTGCAGGGATTTCGAACATGAGAGTAGAGTACTTTGGCTTTCTTACCAGCCGTGGAAAAGTTCGTTAACCGCACCGAAAAAAAACACCACGGCCGACTAGCGTCCGAGACAGAACGGGACCTAGAGATGACCCATTTATATTTTGAACGGCTTTGAACATGTACCCTCTGGTAAACATACAAAAAACTATGGACAATCACCATTTTCAATGGGTAAATCAAATCCACTATAAATATTGGTCATTTTCAATAGCTATGTTAAATTACCAGAGGGTAAATGGTTCCTCTTTTGCGGGATTGTAGAGTAGAGTAGGCTAGAGTAGAGTGGCTAAGAACTTCTGACACTCGCACATGCGGTAAAGAGAAGTGAAGATAGTGCATCCGACCACACAGCACCCTGGCTGTGAGATTTTCGAGAGTAAATGGGACCTAGACATGATCCATTTACATTTTGAGGACAGCTGTGTTTTTCTAGGGTCCAAGTATCTGTTTTCACCTATGTTTTCCCTAGAAAATCAGGTGAGCCAACCTGACCCGGTAAACTCGTAGAAGGATTTTTGAGGGGCTTTCAAAATGTTTTCATGCACATTGTTTGGCCGGAAAGTGAGACTGAAGGTCTAGGACTTTGGCTAAGAACCGCCGACATTCGCACTTTGGCGGTAAAGAAGTTAGCACATCCGACCACATAGCAATCCCTAAGGATCCATGTATGGAATATTTACCTACATTGGGATTATTTTAAATTACTTTAGGGGTCAATGTAGGTAAATATTCCATACATGGATCCTCTGGGAATCTGGCCATGAGATTTTTCGACACGAAATGGGACCTAGAAATGACTCGTTGACGTTTCGAGGGGTTATGAAAATGCTATGAGGTCATCTGCTGTTTTCCTGCAGCACAGCAGCCGAACCCCCAGTATACACATATATATATATATAAGTATCTGCATGTATATAAACAAAACTTGAATTCCACCAATAGTCAATTGGAATATATATCTATAACTTGGTGGAATAGTGGATACTTATAACTTTAGCCTATTGGATAGTAGTCTATAACCATATATATATATCTATAACTTGTAGCCAATAGTTTGTGACTGGTTCTTCGAAGCCGCGAGACTCTCGTGGCAGCCGCGCGTTCGTTGTTTTTTTATGGCTTAGTTTTACCCCATGAGTTTGTCAAAAATCTCAAAAAAAACATAGTCATCCCCCCAGTCACCATTTTTATGACGGTGCTATGTTTACCATTCCCAGTCATGGGTAGTTGATGGCATTGTTTGAACCACATTAGTTTTTTTTCACTCGTTGTGAACTGTGCATCCACCTAGGGATGCTTGGGGAATCGAATAGAAATCCTCCGTGGTCAGACATGGGGAAATCCCGGCGATGGGTACCCTCTGGTAAGCATTTACAGTTTGCGAACTGGAAAATCACCATCTTTAATAGGAGTTTCAACTAAAAAAGGACCATGTTCAATAGCTTAACTGTTAAATTACCAGACCAGAGGGTAATGGGAAAATCATCGATGAATTCTCCATGGCCATGGCCATGATTACCAGAAGGTATTCCAGTCACCAATGAAAACTAACTCCAATGGCCCGAGCAGAGATGGTATCTGGATGTATTTGGTAAACTGACCAAACAAAACTGGGATAGTAACTAGCATAGAAAGTTCAAGCAATGCGAACCTATAGAGAGTTGGATTTCACCAAATGTTAATCACAAGACACGAAATCAACAGTTAATCAGTTCGTTTGTTTTCGGTTAACCCCAAATAGTAAATAGGTTATACCCTCTGGTAAACTATGGACAATCACCATTTTCAATGGGTAAATATCCACTATTTCTATAGGCTATGTTCGAGTTCGCAGTTCCTGTAACAGTCATTACCAGAGGCTACAGGATGGTGCCCCCCAGTGATGTGAACGTGGGTTTATAAACCCCATGAATACTAGTTCGTTATATCTGCCATAAACCATAGGTTTAATGGGACTTATTTGCACCAACTTAGCTAACTATGGGAAAATGGCCATTTATAGTGATTTTTCCCATGAAAAATTGTGATTTTCCATTGCTATGTTAGTTCACCAGAGGCTAAGCCCAGTTAGAACTCCCCCAAGTTGCGACGGGGTGAACCACCGGCGATACGCACAGGTGTCCACACTGCCGTCAGGATACTGTCCTAGCAGATGCGGTCCCTTGATATGGCACACGTTGGGAAATCCTCGTGGAAAATAGGAGAAAACCACTGGAAAATTTGCAAACATATGTGAACATCCACCAATTACCCATAGGATTTATGGTATATATGATATATATGTGCTAACATGACTGGGGTATATTGATGGGATCCATGTTACCATATATGGCATACATGGATCCTATGGGTTATAACTTGAGGTTTAGTTTGCTGGGAAAATCGATCGAACTAAATGGGGTATTTTCCAGCTGGCCATGGTTCATTGCCGGAGAGTATGGGTTCAATGTGATAACCCAATAGTAAGTTGTTTTTCTAATACTGTTTTGGACAACCCCCTGCTACAATTGGTTGAATGGGGTATGGTTTATTATTGTTGTTATTCTTTGGCGCCCTGAGAACCACTTGAGGGTAGCCACACTTTGACTTCTACCTCTACCATGTCGTTTTTGGGGTTCCCTGCCCACTATGCTGATTCATAGAGGTGTATCTCGATCGCAGGACGGTAGGAACAGGAATTTGTTCAGGGCAAAGACTGTGTTTGTTTGAACATGTGGTATATTGTACATACCCCGAGAAAAAACCGGTGAATCGTCATATTACCCCATGAATGGTAATGTTGTGGGTATGCACCAATTTGTGACACACCGAACTGAGTAAACACTGGCGATAGTTTTTTTTTTTAATCAATTGGCTACACACATAGTGAACACAGCAAATACTGGAAAACTCAATGTTTTTTTGGTCGGTGAAAATGGGTTGATTGGTGATTCTAAGATTCGATGCCTAAGCCAACCTGTGTCAGTCCGTCTGCCACAAAAAGAAGTAGGATCCAGAAAAAGTTTGTCATGGTGACTAGGGGCAAGTTAGTCAATTCCTGCCTTAGTTTGACCTTGTTTTGGGACAGTGGTATGATACATATTATTGAAAATTAAGGCCGAAGATTTGATTCACGGCATCTTTCGAAACAGTTTGACTCCTCTTCCAAATACCTTTCGTTTTCTCGTGTGCTTTAATTACAACATGAAACCCCTACAATTTGGGGTCCAGCTACAAGTTGGTTTATCGATTTATGATGATTTATAAACCCCATGAACACTGTATAATTTCAAGATCTTATATAATTGTAAGTATGTCAAACCGTAGTTATTGGAGTTATTCAGCATATTAGCTGCAGAAACCACCCGAAACCTGTGAACTAAGCCTGGGGACAGACCTAATTTTCAGACAGAGCCTTAAAAAAGGATCTCGTTGGCAAATTGATTGCTACGGACATCCGTTTTTTTTTCGAAAGTGATCCGATAGGTAAGCACCCCAGAAAGCTGATCGAGTGCAAAGATTGCGGAGCTCGAACGATTGGAAGCCAATCTCTGTACAGCTATAGCATGCTATAGCTATAGTTATTCCAAGGATTTGGTGTTTTTGGTAACAGTTACAGGAGCCCCTCATATATTTTAGGAGAAGATAGGAGAAGAAAGCATGACTTCCTGCAATTTGTCCCGTTTTTGTATCAATCCATTCAGCAATTTTGCAAAATCCTGCTGTCGACCACTGGTTGGTGGTTTGGAACGTGAATTTTATGACTTTCCATATATTGGGAATGTCATCATCCCAACTGACTTTCACTCCATGATTTTTCAGAGGAATAGGTATACCACCAACCAGCTATAGTAGTCATCATTGATGGGATGTCATCCCAACCCCATTGACGAAGTCCTCATATTTTTCAAGATGGTGAGTTATTGCACCAGCTGCTGTCGACCACATCTGAGGCGCACAAAGATAGAAAGATGATTCAAAATTTGGAGATTCACTGCAACTCGGCTTTGTCAAAAGAGTTGCAGCGCAGATGATCAGGTAGCAACCTATAAGTGTTTGAATTCTATGGTTTATGGTAGATATAACTATAGTTAATGAGTACTGATTGGTGGTTTGGAACATGAATTTTATGACTTTCCATTCAGTTGGGAATGTCATCATCCCAACTGGCAAACTCATATTTTTCAGAGGGGTTGGTATACCACCAACCAGAAAAAATCGGGTGGATTTGTATCCAGCTTTGCCGAACATGGTGATGTGTACCAACATTGCTCCAGCCAGCCTGATAGATAATTACATGATTCCCACTATTTGGCAGGGTTTCTCCAACTCACAAATGATAGCCACAAGGGGGGTAAATGGGTTATTTTATCCTCTGGTTATGTCAAAATAGCTATTGAAAATGGCCATTTACAGTGGATTTTCCCATTGAAAACGGTGATTTTCCATAGTTATGTTAGTTTACCAGAGGGTACATTTCGATATTTACCCAATCTTTACCCAATTTACCCCTGTACCTGGGGTGTTTGCAGCAACCCTTTGGCTCTGATGTGTTGGAGGGTGGTACATGATCCAGGATGTGCCATATGCAGAACATATATATATATTTATATTTATATATATATATGTGTTTGACTCTGAACAAATAAAATGGTACAAGGTGGTGCCCCCGTTCGATAGCTAAGTTGGTGCAAATAACTGCAATAACTATGGTTAAAAAAGGTGATATATCTATAGTCTATAGTATTCATGGGGATTATCAACCAATTTATAACTGGAGGGCACCACATACCCCAAAAACATCCACTTGGGGATGTAGTTGAGGTCATAAATGGACCTCTGGGGCTCCAACCGAATCTTTCACAAAACCATGTCATTACCCTCTGGTAGACATGCAAAAAGCTATTGAACATGGCATACATGGCCATAGAAATAGTAGATTTACGGATTTACCCATTAAAAGCATGGTGATTTTCCATAGTTATGTAAACGTTTACCAGGCCTGGTACATCACCATGTGGTTTATCCCCCAGAAACTGCGCAAGGTTTCATCCGCGCAAGGTTTGCGGAAGTGTTGGCTGCTTGAATCCAACCCATGTTTCAAGCATAAAACCATAAACTCCGTTTGTCATCCCACTATATTCCAATAATATATACCCAAATTCCATCACATATTCCCATAAGAATCATAACATAATTGTTCTTTTCTTCCACTTCAACCCATATATTTTTTGGTGGTTAGATATCTAGTCTCCAGTAGTTTTTTATTCAGTCCTCCAGGTAGCTATGGCTGCGGCGATGTTCATCGACTTGGAAACAAAGAAAGGCAGGGGCACTGGAGGGCAACAAAGAATTGGATCGACTGGGTGAGTTGGTGGCATCTGAGCATGAAAAAAAAAGGATTTCATCGACTCGAAAATTGGAGATTTAACATGATTTACCCTCGGGTAATTTAACATAGCTATTGAAAATTGCCATTGAAATAGTCAGTTTTTCCCATGAAAAATTGTGATTTTCCATAGTTTTTTGTATGTTTACCAGAGGGTAATCATTGAAAATAGAGATTTCAACTGATTTCCATGGATTGCGCCATCCAAAATGACCTTTTTCGGTCTGGGTTGAGCAGCTGGATGGATAGCTTAAGGTACAAAATGCAGGGTGTCCAAGATGGGGTTTCCCTACATTTTTTTCGATGAAGCTGCTACAAAACAACAACTGGTTGGTGGTTTGGAACATGAATTTTATGACTTTCCATAGATTGGGAATAATCATCCTAACTGACTAATATTTTTCAGAGGGGTTGAAACTGCGAATTGCATATTCCCTATTTAGCATTCATGTCATGACTTTGCAATTGTCATTTCAATCAATGGGCATTTCACCATAGCCCTTTTTCCAAGCTCAAAGATCGGTCGGAAGACCGGTGAGTCCAACGTGAAGGACTTTGGAAAGAGAGTTAAAAGCGCAGGACCACTTGTCTGACCGTGGAGGACTTTGTGTGTCTACCGCAAGGAGTTTGAGGTGTGGACTAGTACCTGGCTTTTCTGGCCGCAGAGGTGTCAGGACTGTCAGTGCTAGTACCCCCGATAATATTACCCGGGTGAACCTGTCGCGAACAGGTTATGAGCCCAACGCATGGGGACTCTGCTGAAATGATGCTCAGAAGAAGAAGGTCTGAGCCTGATGATGAAGAGTCAAAGAAAGACCAAACAGCGTCAAGCACCCGGGCAAGCGCGAGGAACCAAGGGGCAGAGATGGCTCTAGTGGCAGTGGATAGGGAAAGGGTTGGAAAGCCTTCACCAAATGGTCCTGTTGGGGAAGATATGAAAACCCCCTTGCCAATAGAAGACTTTCCAGCAGAACCTGTAGGATCCCCTAAGGCCCTAGGACCTAGGAACCTCCAGCCACTGTTCAATGAAGCTCAGCTAAAGAAGGCTGAGGAGCTCAGGTTGAGTGCACCACTTTTGCAGGGCCCAAGCCCCACCGCAGTAAGCCAGTCCACCGGCGGATGGGATGGGGGTTTGGCGGCAGGGAAGGTGGGAATGGGGAAGGAAGCTGACATGTCAGAGGGACCATCAAGGAAGGGTCCGGAAGTCTTGATGATGTCACCAATGGGATATCCCTTAGCACCTCAACATGGTTATGGATACGTGCCACACCACACACAACAAGGAATGTTTGATGAGATGATGTGGCAGTTTCGACAAGAAATGGGACAAATGTCAAAGTCTCTCACCCAGCTTCAAGAAGAAAATTTGAGGTTGAGGATTCAGCTTATGGAAGAACGAGAGACTAGATATACAACACCTCCCGATGTCACTCCCGCTGAAGGTCTCCGTGACAGCACCCGCCGTCAGAAGGTTTCAGGAAAGAAGCCCAAGTCCAAAGGTGTAGAAGCCAAGCAGGAAGACTTTGAAGCTTCGAAGCCAAAGGAGGATGCAAGTCGAGGAGAACAGGAGGCTGAGACCCCCAAAGCAGAGGAGGAAGTGATTGGAAGGAAGCTTGAAGAAGTTTCTAAGGAGGATGGTCCAGCTGGACAGCAAGAGTCCAGTGAGGAGAGTCAATCGATTCAAGAAGAGGAGTCGGAAGATTCAGTGAATGTGAAAGATCACAAAGGAAGATCAAAAAAGGAGGACACCACAGTGGACGTGATGCTCAAGTTGATGCAAGGGATGCAATCGCTGCAACAACAGCTCTTGGATCGAGAGACGATCAGGGGCCGACGGCTAACAGAGGATGAAGAAGAGGAGCATGTGAGGAGCAGTGTAGAGCTGCACAAACTGCCGGAGTGGACAGCTGAGAATGCTCCGGTGGACTTACAGGACTGGTTGCTTCTCATCCATGCACAGATGTCGGATCTCACTACCAGCAGTTCAGAATGGTGGGATCTAGTGGTTGAGACTGCGAAGGACTGGTACCACAAACACCAAGCCATGAAGCCCATCGACAAGCTGAAGCATGAAGTCAGGGCACCACCGCAACTACAGCAGAAGAAATGGAGAAGGTTGGAGAAGAGAGGAAGCAGTTTGCTTCTTCAGGCCTTGCCCAGTAGTCAGCGTGATGACATTGTGGCAGGGAAAGACCTTTCAGTGTTGGCGATTTTGGCAAAACTCCTCAACAACTACCAGCCTGGTGGTTCCCATGAAAAAGCAGCAGTGCTGGCCGCTTTGGAGCTGCCGGCAGAAGCGGTGGGGATCGGCGAGGGCATCCTGGGACTACGTCGTTGGTTGAGATGGAAGAAAAGGGCAGAAGACATGGGCCTTCAGTTGCCCGATCCATCGGTCCTTTTGAGGGGCCTGGACCGGCTGGTCTCCAAGATTTTGGCTGGCAATCCAACCTTGCAGTTTCGCATTAACCTGACGAGGACAACACTGATGGTGGATTCTGTGCCCACTATGTCTTCCATTGACCAGTTGGCCGAATGCTTACTGGCTGAGATGGACCAGGTCTCCTATGCCAAAAAGAAGGAAAAGGCAGCCATCGCAGGAGTTCCTAAAGCTCGGAAGATGGAGGAGGCAGGAAAAAGAAGCGAAGTGCCTCAAGCCAAGAAGGGCGATGAGGGTAAGAAGGAGATGCCAAAGTGTAAGTACTTCCTGACGGAGAATGGATGCCGTCGAGGAAAAGCTTGCAGATGGGATCACAACCAGAAGGATGACCAGCGTCGCTGCTGGAATTGCGGGTCCACAAAGCACTTCTCCAACAAATGTCCAGTGAGTGAGGGCCAAGGAGAAGTCAAAGTGGCCAAAGCCGAAAAAGACGGCGAAGCCAGAAAGAAGAAGAATGATGAGGAGGACAATCAGTCCGACCGAGCAGTTGCTGGAGCGGACGATATGAAGAGTCTACTGGAAGAAGCTGGAAAGATGCTAAAGGTGATTCCAGGAGCTTCGCAGGAAAGTTCATCGGTTGAGGAGACCGGTGATGCCAAAATCAGGAGACTTCAAAGACAGCTGGATGAGCTTCGAGCTTCTTCGGTGAGAGTGCTGCGATTGGCCAGGGTCCAAGCAGCTGTGGAAGATTTGGGACTCCTTGACAGCGGAGCTACCCATCCTCTTCGACCTCCAAAGAAAGATGAGGATCTGTCCAAATGTCAAAAGGTGAGGATCAATCTGGCCGGAGGAAAACAAACAATGATGATGCTTTCAGAAGGTGGTGCCATCATAGGCTCTGAGGATGTGGAGCCCATCGTGCCACTGGGAGCGTTGGTGGAGAACTTGGGTTGCTCTTTGCAATGGACCGAAGGCCATATGGTCCTGTATCACCCCTTCAAGGGGCAGATTAGCACCCAGCTCAAAGAAGGTTGCCCGATGATCAACAAGTCTGATGCTTTGGAGTTGATCGAGGAGTTGGAAAAGAAGGCACCCGAGCTGAGGAGTGTAGAAGGATCCGCAGCTGAAGCCTACATGCACTGGATGAAGCGCTTGGTAGAAGAACACCCAGCACTTCAAGGAGTTCCAAAAAGAATCACAGAAAGGTTGGTGATCAGCCCTAAGGAAGGACATATCACCGGAAACCGAAGCCGAAGAAAGCTATGGAAGAAAGAAGGAGGTGTGACGTTGTACCTCTACTCAGGACCCAATGAAGGGTACACTATGGCCAAGGCCATTCAGCTCCTCGGAGGAGAGAAAAGAAAGGTCATAGCGGTGGACATCAAGAACGGAGCCAAATGGGATATGATGGAGGATGACCTCTATGCTGAGCTCATGGACATGGTCATCAAGGGCCAAGTGGAGTCCTTGGTGATGTCTCCAAATTGTCGCACTCGCTCAAAGCTCCGACACTATGAAGTTGAAGGAGTTGATCTTCCTGGACCGGTCCGAGAGTGGAACGGTGGAGAATGGGGAAAGAAGGGCATCGGAGAAAGAGAGGAGAAGAAGTGCCATGAGGATGATGTGATGCTCTTCAGAGGACTCATGCTCTACATGGTTGCCCAGGAGATCAGGAAAGCATCCCGCCACACCAAAGACATCGACCTTGTCTTTGAGCACCCCAGCACCCCGGCAAACATGCCACAGGTGGTATCGTTCTGGTCCACCCCCCAATGGCAAGCACTCAAGCAAGCATACGGCCTGTGGGAGATCCACTTAGACCAAGGGAAGCTTGGAGGAGGAGGGGTCAAACCCACAACGTTGGGCGGCAACTTGCGCATGCAAGTACCCAGCGTGGTCGTACCAGCACCACAACCTCGATGCACACATGGCAAAACAAAAGAGCAGATAGTGCAGGAATCCCAAAGCCTTTCCAGATGGGTCCCTCTGCTTACCGACATGGTAGCATGCGCCCTGCTGGAGTCCCAAGGGATCACCCCAAAGTTGAGATCCTGGAGGACACATGTCCAACGATGCCACCAGCCTTTCAGAAAAGACTGCAAGGTATGTCAAGAGGCTGCAGCAAGAGCGAGACCTCACCGGCGTCAAAAACTTCCCCCAAGAGCTGGCGTTCTTTCGGTCGACATCGCCGGACCACTCACCAAAGCTCCAGACCTGGGCAAAGACCATGCTCGTTTTGTCCTGGTCGCGGCGTTCACCTGGCCTACAGGCCTGAAGGGTGACGACTTAGAAGAGTTGCCCGAGGAGGATGATGAGGATGATTTCCCAGGCTGGGAAGAAAATGAAGAGAAACCAAAAGAAGAGATAGGGTCCCAAAAGCCAGGAGCCAAGAAGCGAGGCAGGCCAAGGAAGAAAGACCCTGAGGAGGAGTTTGAGGAGCTGCTGAGGAGAGAGCAGGAAGAACAGAAGCAGAAACGGCAGAAGGAAAAGGAGGCTGCAGAACCCCCAGGAACTGAGGAGCCCTTAAAGGAGGCCGCAGAACCCCCAGGAGTTGAGGAGC